GGTCCTGCGGAGCTCTAGGGCAGAAAGCAGGCCGGTGCAGAAGGCTGCCTGTCACCGGCTTTGCAGCTGCACCTTGTGGTTCCCCTGGTCCTGTGTGGATTTGTGAGAAGCTTCCATGTGCTCCCACGCACCCCAGAGTCTTTCTGATGGTGCTGAGCCACCTGCCCGCCCACTCCCTTCCCTGCTGATGGGCCGTTTGGCGAGCTCTAGTCGCTGCAGGCAGGGACCTTTGGATGTCACGTGGAATTTGGTAAACTGAAGGCGAGATGATGGAAAGATAGTTGTGGTTTCTGTTCAAGTCAGGAGTCTGATTTTAACCCTTTTATCTGTACATTAATATGCAATGGCGGCTTCTGCATGGTAAACCTGGGACACATTAATCAGCATAATATATACTAACCAGACCTCAGCTTATTGCTAGTGGGAGGAGAGGTCCGTTAATGGGGTGACTACTTAGAGGATAATAGGGACTATGAGAGGAAGGGGCAGAGAGCTACGAGAGCCTGTGGTCCTCAGAGCCGGTGGTCCTCAGAGCAAATCAGAGTGTCAAAGAGGAAGGGAATACCTTTGTAAGTCGTTGACTCAGCATGGGGACTTAATGTTTGATCTCTGAAGGTGAATTTGACCTTCCGAGAGAACTTGTTGGCACTTTTCAAGGGGCAGTATTAGCCCTTCTTGGAGGATTCCTATGCAACCATGTGTCTATGGTCTTGGTCCCAGTTTCACACACACACACACCCTCTCTCTCTCCCTCATACTCATGCACAACACACACACACACTCACACATACTCATGCACAACACACACACACACACTGTTCTTTGCCTACTCCTGGGCTTTCTCCTCTTTAATGAGGTAATATTAGTAACTTAATTGTCCTGAGTTCTGGGAATCATCTTACAGAATTATTGAATTTGAGAAGGGATCAGACAAGGCAGCCATGTACCTGGGTAGCAGGGATACTGTCAGAAGCATGGCCGGAAGCAGGGCCCTTAAACTATGGGAGGAGGTGCTAAGTAGATGGTAAAGTAGAGTACAGCTGGATTGTTGCCACTGATAGAGGAAGGGTTGCGTGTTGGCCCTAAACATACACCAAACATTTTCACCCTGCCAGCAGAAGAGTTTTGGCCCCTAGATGCCCTGCTCACCAAATTGGAAACATGAGGTACTGACTCAACCACAGAAAGAAAGTGGACATTGAGTTTGAAGCTTCCATGACATAACAGCTTGCTCTTTCTCAGAAGTGACCTGTTTCTCTCTTGGGGCTCTTGCCCAGTGTTTCACTTCCCACACTTGCTTCCTGGGAGAAGAGGGGATGAAATCAGTGTGTTGGCTCCGGGCACTGTGGTGAAAGGTCTTGTCTCCTTCAGGAGGCAGGCGAGCTGGACTCGGAGCTGAGTGAGTGTCGTGGGCGTTCATTCTCGTGGGCTGCTGTCCACCCACATTTCCATTAAAAAGGCCGATCTGACAAAGAACTTTCAAGGTAGATCTATCAAAGAACTTTACTCAGGCTCCTACCACACTGAACTTTTTTCCCTTCTGCCTGGAATCTTGGGCCTCCCGGCCTTTCTGAAAGGCTCCTTTCCGCTTTGTAGGAGGGCTTAAATGTTACACGGTGTCAGTGGCAACATTTGTTGTTTTGTTTCCTTGGAACCAAACTATGTAAATAAAGCTGTAGCTGGAGAGTTGTGTTGCTTCCCTCCGTTGTTCCCGGCCATGGTCTCCTTACAGTCGCCAGCCAGAGCTGACTGGTCATGTAGGAGATCCTTTTACATTTGCCACTGGAGTGATCTCAGAGTTACCTTTTATATCAGCCCTGAGGCCAGTGACAGGCGCGAAAGCTGAAGATGGAGGACCAGAGTGGGGCGGATGCAGATGGCCATGGAGGCGGCCCTGGCATGTGCTCCAGTTCACATGTTCCACACCGCAGCAATCAAAGCTAGCCTCAGTGAGGGAACAGGCATGGGAGGGAAGCCTACGGGAGTCGATAGTTAGCCCCAAGGACCTTGGGATAAAAAATACGGAAAATGATAAATAAAAATCGAGCCATCTGCTTTTGCCTTTAGGGGCTCCCAAATGTACCAGGCCTTCCTGTGTTCCCCAGAAATGGCTGTATAACCAGCTGGAAAGGGGTGTGTGTTAGGGAGCACTGTGATTGGAGACTCTGGAAACAACAGGTTTTAAATATTCTGATTCTATCCCTCACAGTGTGTGTGAAGGCAGCCATAGCCTAACTGGTGAGGAGGTCTGAGTGGCCCAGAGGACCTATTCAGGGGAATCCCGCCTGCCTAGGAAGCAGATTCCACCAGGTTGTAAAGCGTGAGCTGCAAAGTTAAAAAGGGATCGTCTGGTTGCCTTGTTGCAGCTCCCTGACGCTGACGTCAGCGCGGCACCTTAGAAGCCCAGTATTGACGTGGGCTTGGCCATTCAGGACCCGAAGCAGGGCTGGAGAGACAGCTCAGCGCTTAAGAACACTGGCTGCTCTTTCTGAGGACCCAGTTCAGTTCCAAGCTCCTGTCTGGTGGCTCACAGCCATGTGTGACTCTAGTCTTAGGGAATCTGGTGCTTGCTTTAGACCTTCACAGGCACCAGCGCCCACATTGTGTGCAGGCAGACATGGAGGCAAAACACCCACACACTTCAGAAAGAAAGAAAAGAAATCTTAAGTGTCTTCTGTATGCACTGTGGAATCACGTTAGCTCGCGTAACCAAATTCTTCTAACTAAAGGTTATGAATAAACTGATCGGAAATTCACTGTTTATTACAGAAGATACACACCATAGATAAAGCAGGTTTGGTGTATTTGAAGTAGTATTTCACGTGGTATGTTTTCTGGAACATTGAGGCTGATCATATTTGATTTGTGTAATCCTTTTTGTTAACTGCAATTCTTGTTTTCTTATTCTGCATGATTATTCTTGGTAAAAATGTACAAAATGTAAAGCTTACTGTAGCCATTTGCAAGTGTATAATCCAGGACATCAGCATGCCTAATGATGAGGTGCTTTTGTGTGTGTGTGGGGTATATGTTGGAGGTCAGAGGCCCGTGTCAGGTGTCTTTCTCCATCGATAACACATTTTTTGAGATAAGGGGTTCTGGTTGAGGTAGAGCTTAGCAGTTGGCGAGCCTGGGTAGCCATCAAGTCCCAGGCAACCTCCTGTCTCTGCTGCGTGACCCTGGATTTTAGGTGTGTGCTAGCCGTCTGAACTTGGGTGGTGCTCATGCATTTTGCCAACTGAGCCGTCGCCCCAGACCGTGATGATAGTGTTGCTGGTTTGTTTGGTTGGTTTTTTTCTTGATGACAGATTTTGAATGTGCCCTATTTGCCTGGGTGACACCAACTACATCTGGCTTGTCAGCATTAAGAATGTTGGCTGTTAAGATGGGCATTAAGTGACTTGGACCCGTTAAGTTTAAGCATTACAGCACTGTTTATTGTGTCTGCTTCTGCCTCACAACAGCTCATCTCCCCTGGTCCGTGTAGTAAGTAGTTGAGAAAAGGTATTTATAGTTCTCAGCTTTGGATGACTAGGGCCATATCGTAAGTCTGTCTTGGGAGTATCTAACTTAGCTGGAGAAGTGCCCCAGTGCCAAGGCAGATGTATTTGCAGGACACTACGTGAAGCCAACCTTTTAAAAGATGGGTTTGCTATAAAAGCTACCGTTGTGCTAATAAATGACCACGCTGCATGTTGCTGCATGTCTCTTCCTGCCCTAAGCATTTGAGTGATGGATGCCTTACTTAACCGGTAAGCTGGTTCCAGTAGGTAAAAAGCCATCTTTATGTAATATAAGCAGCAGTGGTCTGTTTTATAGGTTGTCGGTTGACACTTCGCTTACTAGAGATCCATCCAGTGGGGAAGGATGTGAGACCGCCACCCTAACCATTCTGCCACCTCCCTTCCAGCTGTCCCAAATGTTCCCCCGACAGGCGGTGCTCCTTTATCAAGCCATTCAGGAGCAAAGTCTGTATTTAAATGCATGATATGAAGTTATCTTAACTGCATCTTAATAGATTTACCAGGAAACAAGGCCACGTGTATATTATCATTTAAATGGCAATTAAAGGCAGGTTTTTCGCCCTGTCATTATTAGAGTAGCAGGTAGGTACTTCTCCATATGAGGTTGTATAAGCAGGGATGCATCCTTGCCCCGGTTGTCAGTCTTAATTACCTAGTCAGGATGGATGAAGAAGCTCCTGCCTGTTTTGCTTTACTAGATGAAATACTGAGCCATGGGCCAGGAAGGACCATGTAGATTTCATTTACAAAGTCTGTCTCCTTCCCTCTTCTCTCTCTCTCTCTCTCTCTCTCTCTCTCTCTCTCAATTTCTGTCTTGCTTTGCTTTCTTTTGGGACAGTTCCTCTGGCGTGTGGACACCAGAAAATGCTCCCCCAACATATGAAGGATTGTTGAGCTAAAAGACAGAGGCAAATAAGTTCCCTGCCTTCCCTCTCTTTGGTCAAGGCAGGACATAGATGGACTTACAGAGGCGAGAGGTGCCCTGCCCACCTTCCTGCCATGTTAACAAAGGTTAAACCACTGAAGACAGTGCTGGATCTTATCGTGTCAGTGATAGCAAGTGGGGAAATTACATGAGCAAGCAGTGCTAACATGGGTAGACAGGTGGGGCATTGATCCTGACTCATCAGCAGGGTCACTGTTATACTGGCTTATGTAATCAGAGGTTTAGATGACATGGCAACTTTCAGAATGCAACCAGAGGCCCAGTCAAAACTGTCAGAGCCGACGGTTGCTGGGTAAAATTATGATTGAACAAAATCAGCCCTGGAGCCTCTGCTAACAGACTGAGGGCAGCTCAGTGAAACCTTTCTGTTCAGAGTCTCAATCTCAGATGCAGCGTTCCTTCCTCCTGGTCATAACACAGAATCCCTGCAGAGTCAAGGTGACCATCCGGGGAATTTCTATGCTCCACCTTGGTGGGTGTGGGGAGGAAACACTCTGGTCTCTGTGACCCATCT